GCAGCTGGATCTGGGGCTGTGGGACAAGTTCAGTGAGCTGGCCACCAAGTGCATCATCAAGATCGTGGAGTTTGCCAAGCGGCTGCCCGGCTTCACAGGGCTCAGCATTGCTGACCAGATCACTCTCCTCAAGGCTGCCTGCCTGGACATCCTGGTAAGTTAAGCCTCAGGGCCCGTCTCCCCCAACAGCCTGACCCTCATAGGAGACCAAGGAGTTGGTCCACACAAAGATTTCATTCTCTCTCCTCCCCACTCTAATCTGGGACTCCTCAGATCTCCTCTAAGCCCAGGCTCTTTTTGTCTTAACCCTTGTCCCTAAGATCTGCTCCTAGAATTCTGGATGCCTGGCCTCCTTCTGACTTCTCTTCCCTCTCTAACATTCAGATCCTCCATCTCTCTGCCTTCCTCCCCGTGCTGCTTCAAGTTTCCCTCCTTCTGGACCTAACCTCCTCACTTTCCACGTGTACCTCATTCCCTCTTCTCTCCACCCCCATACGCCCCCCTCCCCAGAGACAGCACTAACCCTCCCCCCGGCCACCTCCAGATGCTGCGGATCTGCACAAGGTACACCCCAGAGCAGGACACCATGACCTTCTCCGATGGGCTGACCCTGAACCGGACCCAGATGCACAACGCTGGCTTCGGGCCCCTCACAGACCTCGTCTTTGCCTTTGCTGGGCAGCTCCTGCCACTGGAGATGGATGACACGGAGACAGGGCTGCTCAGTGCCATCTGCCTCATCTGTGGAGGTACGGGGGCGCCCCCTGGCGTTTGCTTGGGCTCCTTTCCCTCCACACCTGACATCTGATCTCTGACCAGGGGAGACCTTGGTACCTCCCCCTGGATTGTTGTACCTGGCCCCATCCACAGACTTCTTATCCAGTCCAGGCACCCCTGCAGCCTGGAACATAGGACAAAAAGAGGGGCAGAGCCAGGGGGAGCTGAGGAGACCCCAGATGCTGGTGCTGAGATGGGGGTCTGGGCAGGAGTGATTTACCAGAGAAAGCCTCTTGCTGAATGGGCTTAGACATGGGGACATGGCCTGGGTGGGGTTCACGGACAATAAGCGAGGGCTGATGGGACAAGTTTGGGTCCTGGAGGCCAGTAGAGCAGGGTCAGTTGGAGATCAGCCACTTGTCACTGTCCTCCCCATCTCTTCTGTCCTTGTCCCCATAGACCGTATGGACCTGGAAGAACCTGAAAAAGTGGACAAGCTCCAGGAGCCATTGCTGGAAGCCCTGAGGCTATATGCCCGGCGGCGGCGGCCCACCCAGCCCTACATGTTCCCAAGGATGCTTATGAAGATCACCGACCTCCGGGGCATCAGCACCAAGGGTTAGTCACGAGTGAGCCTCCCCTCTCTCTTCCTGGAGCTGCTGGTCTCCCAGGTCAGGCAGGTGGACAGGCAGAGACAAGAACAGGGCGGGTGAGAACCAGGTGGCCTACACTGGAATCCTAGCTCTGCCACCTGCTAGTGGGGAGACTTTGGGCAAATTCCTTTACTTTTTGTACCTTGTCTTCCTGTTTGTAAACTGGGCTGTGCTTACATCCACCTCATAAGGTTATTGGGAGGACTAACTGAGTTAACACACAACAGGCTTGGGACTGCATTAAGCTGAACATTGAGTTCCTCAGTTGCAGGAACTCACATTTCAAGGGCTCAGTAGCCACCTGTGGCTAGTGACTACTATGTTGGACAGAGCAGAGATTCCCATAATCACAGAAAGTTCTGTTGAACAGTGCTGATTTAGAAAGATGCCTGGCAGATAGTAAGTGTTTGATAAATATTAGCTATTATCATAAATGTTATTAAGAACAGGGCTAGGAACAACTGGCAAGCTGTGGACATTCAAGGGTGGGGTACCTGAGGAGTGGGGCTGAGAGTTGGGCATGGTGTGATCTTTGAGAAGACAGCCTGACAGAATGGGACGAAGGGACAGCAGGCTTGGCAGAGAAGACAGGTAGAGGAGTGGGCAGAGGAGTGGCCCCCAGGAACCGTGGATTAGGGAGAGGGTAAGCTGGGACAGAGAGGCGGCAGGCCTGTCCTGGGAGCCCCCTGAAGGGAGTCATAGGTCAGTCGAGAAAGTTAGGGCCTCAAGGAGCATGTACCTCTGCCCCGCTGAACCTCTTTGCTCCTCCCTTACAGGAGCGGAAAGGGCCATTACCTTGAAGATGGAGATTCCGGGCCCGATGCCTCCCCTCATCAGAGAGATGCTGGAAAACCCCGAAATGTTTGAGGACGACTCCTCGCAGCCTGGTCCCCACTCCAAGGCCTCTAGCGAGGATGAGGTTCCTGGGGGCCAGGGCAAAAGGGGCCGCAGCCCCCAGCCTGACCAGGGCCCCTGACTTCCCTTGCCATGGGGGTTGGGGCTCCAGGCAGCAGACTGACCATCTCCCAGACACCACCCGTGACTGGAGGAGGACCTGCTCTGCCCTCTCCCCACCCCTTCCAATGAGCTCCTTGTTTTTGCCAAAGTTTCCAGGGGTGCCTCTGTGTTCATCCCCTTCCTGCTCTAACTGGCTCTCTCTCCAGTCTTGGGGGCTTGCCCTGCTCCCATCAGTAGAGAGGGCAGAGGGGTGAGCCTGGGTTTGGACTCTAAAATCTCAGCACTGCCCCTTAGGCACCAGGGTCCCGGGCTCCCCAGGGCAAGAGGAAGACTCTGCCATTCCACAGCCCCTTCCTCTGCTGGTGCTTAGGCCTCTGGGAGCAAACAGGAACACTAGAGACCAAAAGGGGGGCATAGGGGGAGGGCTGAGCCCACCCTCTTACCCCTGCCCTTGGTGCCTAATGCTGCAGAACGCACCTGCTGGGTGCACGCTGCCCTCTGTGCCCCATCCTCATGCCAGGTCAGGGTAGGGCAGGCTGGGCCCTGCATTTCCATGGGGGAACAGAGGGTGAAAGGGACAGGTGCAGGTCCATTCTGCGCCTCTTTGCTTGGGCCCAGAGTTTCCCTTGTGCCCTCCGTTACAAGCCCTCCCCCAGCCCTATCATGTGCCTTGGGCTCCCCCTGCCCCCCATCTCAGCCATCAGGGGCAGGGACCCTCCTACACTACAGAGGGGCCAGGGGATCCTTCTCCCCCTAGTGCCTTCCCCTCTTGACCCCCAGAGCAGCTTGGCCCAGGGAGAGGGGGGTGGGTGCTGCTTAGCTGATCCCGCCCTGACCCAGAGGAAGCCTCTATTTATTTATTAGCTTTTGTTTACACCCTGGAATTGACCCCTTCCTCCAGGAGTCTTGGGAGGGGGTGCCCAGGGCCCCTGTGACCCCGCCCTTCTTCCTCCAATCCCCAGTTTGTATTTAGCTGCCAAATAAGATTCCCGCTGGCTCCCCTGTTTCTCTGGGGGGTCAGGGTGCTGTCCCCTCCCCTCTGTTTACATCTCCCCTCCACCCCGCTGTATCGCATATTGCTGAGTTTTCTATTTTTGCAAAATAAAGTGATAGAAACTCATGGGATGTGGCTCCCTCTAGGAGTTGGTGGGGGAAATGACCAGCTGATCTGGAGAGGGACTGAGTGACGTGGGTGAGCTCCTAATCCACTGGCTTTTGTAGCTTTTTCAGAGGAACCAAGTAAATAGGATGCAATGCACCTGGATGGGGGTGGTGGGAGGGTAGGGGAAGGGAGCCCACAGGGGTCCACCCTGAGTGTCTGGGCCTCCTGCAGCCACCAGTGTGGGTTGTTCGATTGGACCCTCTGGACCTCTGCAAAGGCATGAATGAGCCTCAGAGGTATTTATGCTGCCCCCGCCCCCAGTTATGTATAAGTGCATATCTGCCCCTGAGGACGGGGTTCTTTGAAGTTTCATTTTGTTCTCATGAGGGTCCCCGGCCCCATGGCATCTGAGTTACAGTGTTTCTGTTTTATACAAATCCCTCACTCCGTGAGCTCTCCCACACTCTGTGACCCCGCTATCACCTTATGAGTTACTCCCTCTGCCCCTTCTGACCCCACTCTTCACCCCATGACCTCCACTCACCCTCCAGGCCCCCACTGTTACTTTCGTCCTAGCATCTCCCCTTGCTCCTACATGCCCTTGGCCTCTACCGCTGTGCCCTGCAGTCTGTCTTCCCCTTGCCTTCCGTGACTCCCCTGTGGCTCACCTTCCTCCCTGGGACAGTGCCATGCCTACCTTGTGCCTGGCTTTCTTCACCAGTGACCTGTGCATATGGGAGAGAGAGGTTGAGGATATGGGAGTAGGGGAAGAGAGAAGAGTGGGGAAAAGCAGAAGAAGAAAGTGAAAGAAGCTCTAGAGGAAACCACAGGGCCTATGGGGAAGAGGGGCCGTTGCCATGGTAAACCCTAGTTGTGGGGGAAGGGTAAAATGTCCCATAGCCCGAGGCCAGCGGAAGTCCACCAGAGAAGGACCCCCTTCTCCCCCGTTGCTCCTCCCAGCAGTACACACCTACACCCCACCTGACACTGACTGAGCACCTACCCCGAGATGGGCACTTTGCTAGGTGCTGTGGTTTCCGTCAGTCCCTGCCCGCAAGGAGGGCCCCCTCTGGTGATAGAGGTGACAGACCTGGGAACACAGACCTCATGTCCAGTTCCTTCTCAAAGTTCCCTGTGGTCAAGTGTGGGCCCCAGGGTGAATATTTCCCACGACTCCTTCTCCCTACAGGTTCCATTCTCGCCCAGGTCCGGCTGCCGTTCCGGCACTTTCCACTTCTCCCAGTTGGCCTCCTCCACCCCTTTCCCAGGCTCCACCACTGTCTTGGTTCCGTGGCCCCCCAGTCTCCTTGTCTGAGCCTGGGCCTGGGCCTCTCTCTCCAACTTCCCAGCTGTCTGGACCTTGAATTTCTCAAAGCTTCTCCACTTGTTACTCACATTAATTATTCACGGATTCTCTGCTCAAGCCCTTAGGATGGGCCAGGTTCTCTTCTAAGCAATTGATATGAAATAGTTCATTTAATTCTCACAACAATCCTATGAGTTCCATTTGAGAAACGAGAAAACAGCCACAGGGAGGGTAGGTAACTTACCTGAGGTCCCACTATCAGTAAGTGACAGAGGCAGGATTCGAACTCAGGCAGTTCGGTTCCAGAGCCCGTGTAGTGGAGCACCCACTATGATACAGTAGGCACCAGGGTTTCAAAATGAACAAGATTCACTCATTTCCTCCTCTCTCCAGTACTGACTGCCTCGATGTTTCTTGCTTCCTATCATGCTTCTATATAAGGAAATGGAGAGATCATCAGTTTGGGAGCCAGGCTGACTTGGATTGAAGTCCCAGACCAGACCCTTGCTAGCTATGTGACCTTGGACAAGGTCATATAAGCCTCTAAGCCTCAATATCTACCTTATCTCTAAGCCTCTACATCTATAAAAATTAGGGGACTGGGGGGGATATCAACAACTATGTCATGATGTTGTGAGGATTAATTATCACATCATCAAACACTCAGCACATAGTATGTGTTCAATGGATGAGCTTCCTTCTTCCAGACCCCTGTGCCATCAACTGCCTCGGCCTAGTTTTACCCCTATCTGCTCCACCTTCTAGATCAGTCACCCCCACCACCCCCAAGTCTCCCCCACCCCGGGGCGTGTCACTTCCTCCTCTGCAGCCTCCCAGATCAGTACACAAAGGCTGCTGCTGCCTCCAGAGGAAGGGCTGCTCTGCACGCACCTGTGAGTACCAGGGCACCAGCCCTTCTGCCTCTTCTCCTTACTAGCCCAAGCCCCACCTGGTCCCAACCTCCCAGGAAGAGGGATCTGATCTGAGGAGCCCATGACACCCAGGGTTCAGTTGAGACTTTCAAAAGGCTCTGAACTCTTTTCCGCATTCCTAAGAGCCCTTGTCCCTGTTCCCTCCTCTAGTTTTACAAGCCCTCCCTCCCCCACCTATCTCTCTGTGCATCAATTTCTCAAGGGCAGGGCTGGAAGGAGGCAAAGGAGGTGGGGGATGTATGGGTGCTACCATCCAAGTGCCTGCCATGTGCCAAGGATCATGTTAGGTCGGGTTCTCCCAATGTTACTCTCCAGCTGCCATCCCTGCTGCCTAATGGCTTGTGTTCAGCTCAGACCTCCTCCCATTTGGCATCTTGGCTACAGATCCCACACTCTTGGGTGACTGGCCCAGGGGCTCAGCTCTCTTCCCTCCCTGTGACTCTGAGTGGGCAGGAGATGGTTCCACTTGACTTGGGAGATGTGGATTGGTTGGGAAGATGCTCTGTTTCTCTGCTGCTGAAGGGGCAATAGGGTGTGTATGGGAGTCAGAATTGAGTCCAGGAAAATGGGACAACCATGGAGGGAGAGAAGGGAAGACTGAGAAAGTCTCTCAAGGAAAGAAAAGAGATTAGGTAGAGCCCATTGGGGCCAGTGAGGAGAAGGCACAACTTTCCATGATGGTGCCTGGGTTGGAGGGGAAGAAAGCAGCGAACAGACCAAGGGCCTGGCCTCTCTCAATCCCGGCTCTGCCTCTAGTCCACTGTGTCCTTGGGCAGGTCGCTCACCTCTCTGGAATTCAGGTTCCCATTTGTAAAAAGAGAGGGTTGAAGTAGAAGTTTCCGTCATTCTATGGTTAGGATCAGAGGGTTGAAAAGGAAGTAAAACAAAGAACTGTGAAGAAGTGAGAAGAGAGAAGCAGCAGAGAGATGCAATCCAGTTTTTGAATAGGAAGAGGAGAGGGAGACAGAGAAGCAGGTGGCAGGCCGTGTATCCCCAAGGAGGGGAGAAAGGGGAAGAATTGGCAGAAGAGGACTGGGAAGGGCTGTCCAGGGAGTGCCAGGGCCCCCTTCACGGGAAATGAGTGGGGCTTGAGGTCTCTGGGTTTGTCTATCCTGGGGATCCACTGTGGCCCAGGGGCCCCACCTGTGAGAGATGAGTCAAAACTGGGCTCTGGGGCCGGCCTGGTGGCATAGTGGTTAGGTTCACACACTCTGCTTCGGCAGCCCGGGGTTCACATATTTGGATCCTGGGCCTACACACCACTCTTCAAGCCGTGCTGTGATAGTGTCCCACATATAAGATAGAGGAAGATTGGCGCAGATGTTAGCTCAGGGCCAATCTTCCTCACACAAAAAAAACCCAAAACTGGGCTCTGTGCTGCAGCATCTCCAGCCTCCCCAACCACAGGCATGCAGAGCAAGGAGGGCTGAGGTTACCCTGAGGCTGAGCCCGGCGGCAAAGGCCTCTCACAGGAGGGCGGAGGCTCCTTTCTATACACACAATGCCTGGGGGCACAGGTGGTGGGGAGCAGGATGGGGGCGGTCAACAAGTCAGCACCCCACCCCTTCCCCACACCCTGTGCAGAGCATCTGGATCTGAGTCTAGACCTGGGCTGAGGAGGATGCAGATGCTTCTCCACAAAGAGTTAGCTGGCCTTTCTCACACACCGCTCATGGGAATGTACACTGGCACAGGCTTTAAGGTGGTTGTGTCAGTAATACTCACCAATATTACAAATGATAGCTGTTTATTGACCCTACAAACCCTTTTCCAGGGCTTTATCCTACAGATTCACTTGCACACATGTGAAATGAGAAATATATCAATTTTCATTGCAGCATTATGAACAACTAGAAACAATTTAAATCCCGTTGTAAGAGACTAACGACACTACAACCTATCCACGCAATGGAAGTCTATACGGCTGTAAAAATGAACAAGGAAGTTCTATATTTTCTTGAGGAGCAGGAGCTCCAAGAAAAGTAGTCAAAAGAAAAAAAGTAAGGTGCATAACTGCGTGTATTCTACCATTTGTAGAATTCTATCATTTGAGTCTACCATTTGAAGAGTATATACATTCATATTAGTTTGTATACGCTTAAAACAATCCCTAGAAAGATTGTAGGCAACAAAAGATAATCAATGGTGGTGATTTATTTGGAAACTGGGGTGAGTAGGGATAGGAGTGGGAGATTTCTCACTATCTTGTTTAACTTTTTGATTTTTTTTATTATGGTAAAATACACATCAAATTTATCCTTTTAACCATTTTAAGTGTACAATTCAGCAGCATTAAGTACATTCACAACGTTGTGCAACCATAACCGCTATCAGTTCCAGAACTTTTTCTTCACCCCCAAAAGGAAACTGCTCATTAAGCAGTCACTCCACATCCTCCCCTCCTCCCCAGCCCCTGGCAACCACTAATCTGCTTTCTGTCTCTGTGAATTTGTCTAGTTGGGCTATTTCATATAAATAGAATCATGCAATATGTGGTCTTTTGTGACTGGTTTCGTTCACTTAGCATAAGTTTTCAGGGTTGTAGCATGTATCAGTGCTTTATTCCTTTTTATGGCCAAATATTTTATTGTGCAGATATACCACATTTTGTTTACCCATTCATCAGTCGATGGACATTTGAGTTGTCTCTACCTTTTAGCTATTGTTTTTTTTTTAAGATTGTATTTTTTCCTTTTTCTCCCAAAGCCCCTGAGTACATAGTTGTGTATTTTTAGTTGTGGGTCCTTCTAGTTGTGGCGTGTGGGATGCCACCTCAGTGTGGCCTGATGAGCAGTGCCATGTCCACACCCAGGATCTGAACGGGCGAAACCCTGGGCCGCCAAAGCAGAGCCCACGAACCTAACCACTCGGCCACGGGGCCCACCCCTAGCTGTGCACTTTTAGTTGTGGGTCTCTCCAGTTGTGGCATGTGGGACGCCGCCTCAGCATGGCTTGATGAGTGGTGCCATGTCTGCACCCAGGACTAGAACCGGTGAAACCCTGGCCCAGCGAAGCCGAGCACAGGAACTTAACCACTCAGCCACGGGGCCGGCCCCTAGCTATTGTAAATAGGACTGCTATGAATGTGTGTGTACAAGTTTTTGTTTGAACACCTGTTCCTTTAGGGATATATTTAGAGTGGAATTGCCAGGTCGTAGGGTAATTCTGTTTTAACTTATTGAGGCATCGTCAAACTGTTTTCCAAAGCGGTTTTACCATATTACATTCCCACCAGCAATGTATGAGGGTTCCATTTTCTCCATATCTTTATTAACACTTATTTTCCAGTTTTTGATTATAGCCACCCTAGTCGGTGTGAAGTGGTATTTCATTATGGTTTTGATTTGCATTTCCCCAATGACTAACAGTGTTGAGCATCTTTTTATGTGCCTGTTGGCCATTTGTCCATCTTCAAAGAAATGTCTAAGTCCTTTGCCCATTTAAAAACTGGGTTGTTTGTCATTTTGTTGTTGAGTTATAAGAGGTCTTTATATATCCCTGATACTTACCAGATATATGATTTGCAAATATTTTCTCCCATTCTGTGGCCTGTCTTTTCACTCCCTTGATAGTACCTTTTGATTCGCGAAAGTTTTAGATTTGGATGAAGTCCAGTTTATCTATTTTTGCTCTTGTTGTTTGTGCTTTTGATGTCATAGCTAAGAATCATTGTCAGGTCCCAGATCATGAAGATTTACCCCTATATTTCTTCTAAGGGTTTGTACTTTTACTTTAATCACTTATGCTCAGGTCTTTGACCCATTTTCAGTTACTCTTTGTATGTCGTGAGGCGGGAGTCCAGCTTTATTCTTCTACCTGTGGACATCAGTCAGCCCATCATCACTTGTTGAAGACTATTCTTCCTCCATTGAGTGGTTTGGCGAAAATCCTTAGCTATAAATGGATGGGTTTATTTCTGGACTCTCAAGTCTATTCCATTGACCTCTATGCCTATCCTTATGGCAGTACCACACTGTCTTGATTACTGTCGTTTTGTATTAAGTTTTGAAAGTGAGAAGTGTGAGTCCCCTAACTTTGTTCTTTTTTGTCAAGATTGTTTTGGCTATTCGTGCAATTCCATATGAATTTTAGGATCCGCTTTTCTACTTCTGTAAAAAAGGCCATTGGGATTTAATGTTTTGATTTTTGAAGCATGATAATGGATTGTCTATTCAAATTTTTAATTAATAAGTTTTAAAAAATCAGAAATTTGGGCCAGCCCCAGTGGCCTAGTGGTTAAGTTCGGCACACTCCACTTGGGTGGCCGAGCCCAGTTCCCAGGCATGGACCTACACTGCTCATCTGTCAGTGGCTATGCTGTGGCGGTGGCTCACATACAAAAAAAGGAGGAAGATTGGCAATGATGTTAGGTCAGGAGAATCTTCCTCAGGAAAAAAAAA